TACAGGCACTTACTCATCGCAAACTTGCTTCTCTAGCTCCTCAATAACCGGGAAGCCTTGGCATCAGAAAGGACCCAGGAGGGAAATGGGGGAGGAGACATTAGAGTGGCCAGGCACTCATCTCACAAATGTTTGAGCATCTGAGTTGGAAAAGCACCTCCAAAAAGGAATAGTGTATTTTTATTTCTTACTATTAGACACATTTTAAAAATGCTTTTTAATGACAGACCCTTGTCATCTTGGCATTCTCCTCCACGTCTAGGAGCACTACTGTGGTGCCTAGGCCTATAGCAAGCTGACAGATGTGAAGTGGAAAGGGAGAGGAATCTTCAGTGTAAGCAAGAGTCTATTTCAAAATCTTTGGACCTTAGCAGTCACACTTTCCTGATCATTGCTTCAGAGGAGGCTACTCGATAATGGGGTTGGTGCACATGACAATGTCAGGGAAGGGTTTCCAGAAAAACATTCAGCTGAAAAATAAAAAGAAGATGCTAAGCAAAAACAGTAATGTACTATTACTCTACACTCCCTCTAACACCTAGGGGTTCAAAGGGGATTCTGGGCTAATTCATGCTAACACAACAGGGCTTGCACACACTGCCACCCTCCCCTCATCCTCAACCCCAAAGATACAGACTTAGCATCTGGCCTGGAGCCAGGGAGGCATATTCTGAATTCAGAGTGCAACAATGTTCAGTACAATTATGACATAATGGCTGTAAAGCTGTCCCTGAAAGCCAAGAAAACCTGAGTAATGTGGTTGGGTTATATCATACAGGAGGGCTTAATAGAGTTTAAAACCAATTTGAAAATTCCTTTATTCCATAAAGATAACATTAAGATAAGGGCAAAATCCTTCTAGTTCAAGGGATGGGAACAAAGTGCGTAAGGAATTATGCAGACTCCTTTCCACATTATCCTTAACCAAAATGACCCATTCCCTTTGAAGATATCTCTGATACTTAATACTGACCCAAAAAGAAGGCAATTTCACTAAAACATTGTAGTCTTATTGTACCCAGCTAGTACTGCCTTGCTATTTAAAAAGCACACAATCCTGTTTCCAAAAACAACTGTTTGCAATCCAAAATCCAACCATCCAGGCAGTGTCTTTCATTGGTCACTAAGACGCCACTATTTCCAGAGAGGTGAAGTTATTCTTATGACCACACAAGACCTGAAAGATGTTTCACTCATTTTTAGCCATTTTGTAGCAAATGACTTTGGAGCATTTGAGTTACTAAATATAGCACTTCCTTGGACTTGTGATCCCAACAACCCCTAGGCCAGCAGAAGAACAGTGCTCAATCTAAATTTTGGGAACCATCCACTCTTGAGGTCAGGCCCTGGCAATCCGCAATTATGTGAGATTCCATGATCCTCTGAATTCTAGTCTGTTACTTAACAGCTATCATTGATAGACTGTCGTAATATTTTGGAACTGAGAAGTGACTTTGGAGATCCCCTTGCTTTATGGATAAATAAACTAATGTTTAACTAAGGCCACTCATACTGCATTTTTTGGTACATTTCTCTATATTTTCTTCTTGAACAATGGCCTATTTTTATACATAATGAGACCAACACAGAATTTTCAAAACTAGAAGGGACCTCCAAATTCAACCTCCTTTCTTCCAAAGAAATCTCAAAAAGCTTTATACATTAATCCTCAGAGTACACCAAATAACAGATATTAAGGCTTAATTTAAGGATGGAGAGAATGAGGAACGTCTCAGTTACAAATGGCAGAATTCTTTTACTATAATAGTGAGATTCTGATCTCTAAATCTAAGAAGATTCAGATTAAGTTCATTTTTGAACCTGGAGAAACAGAGTGGAATTTAGATCTCCATTTTTTCAGTCTTATGTCCTAAGCTGCCTCAGCTGCCTGAACTTCTATTAAATAACAGTATCCTTTCTTTTGGCTGACTGGGAGAACTACATGTTTTAAAAAGTAAAGAGTTAAAAAATCAAAGAATTCAATCTTCTGTCCTTACTCCTGACTAAACTAGAAGCCATTTCCCCATTATTTCATGATTAATATGAAAAATTACAGAAACAATGAGAGGAAGTTCATCTGTTTCCAGTAGTAACATTCTGGTTTCTGCTGCAGACCCATTGTCAACAGAAGGAAGCAGCATATACCACAAGCATCCCCTATTACAACGCGAAAAGCTGTTGACTTTGAACTCCTTTGGAATGTTAGTAAAGTAGAAAAGCTGATTGTGGCTGTCCTTCAGTATTATTTAGGCAACCTAGCCTTAAAATAGTGACCATACATAGGTCCTCTATCCTTAAGGCAGGACCAAACCAAGATATTAGTGCCCTAGGTAAGCTAATTCTAGTATACCTTCAAATGGATGCTCTTCAGATAGTTGCTCAAGTGTTTGGGTGAGAGGTTGAACACATCAGGCCTGGAGGGAGGGTTGAGACAGGGCTGGTGGAGCCTTTCAGCTTGCATATTCCATTCAACACAACAAAGGCCCAGCAGCTGAGCAGGCCAGATCTTCTTTCAGAAAGCAGTTTGATGACCATCTATGGATTCTTAAACAGGCCCTTCCCCACTACAAGCTGTTTATCAAAGCATTAGTAACTGCAGCATTTATAACTGCTTTTAGTAAGCTCTTGAAAGATTATTGACTTATATTCTTTTCTCTACCTTGCTGTACCTCCAGTGATGTTTTCACCCTCCTTATAGATCCAGCCTCCCTTCAGGAACACTGTCTTTTCATTTCTATACCAGGTACCAAGTGTTTGCAACATGCCAGGCACTAGAAATATAAAAGTGATTAAGATACTTTCCCTGCCCTTCAGGAACTCACACTTTGGGCAGGAGAAAGATTTACCAATAATACCACAGTGATGAAGCCTATAGCAGTAAAATGGTTATTACTAGATGTTACTGGTGAAATGCTGTGAAATCCTTAGAGATGGATACCGTCTTAAAATAGAGGTACTTTGAGTTTTGCTTCTATCTCTGGAAACCTTATGTTGGGTAAGGATTGGAATAAAAAGAGAGTAATGTTTTCATGCTTCCAGTTCCCCGTGGCTGTAACGGGATACAGGGATAACACCTATGTGAAACTTAGCCAAAATCTTTCATTTTGCATATTCTTTCTCAATTTTGTCCCTCAAACTTGCTGTGTAATACTACGAGAAGGGTAAAGTAAGCTTGCCTCGTCCCTGCTACCTGTGCAGCTACACATCCCCGGATCCAGATGGTTTCTCCCCTTCAAAATAACTGCAAACAAGATTAAAACTGCATGCAGGAACTATTCCAGCTGGCTTTTGGCTTCCTCTGATGTACACCCCTTGAATAAAGCAGTGGCAAAATTACATTTCAAATAAGGAACATAAAAAAGCTTACGACTTGTATCAGATCACCTCAAGGTCCTGCTATGTGTGAAACCCCAAGTTCTGGCATTAGAAAACTAAAGCATCAGCCAGGTAGGGTATGCACACATTATGAAATATAAAAACTTTAATAATAAAAAAAAATTTGTTTTGAAGGCCTATCTTCACATTGCCTCTGGGTACATAAGAGCATGACAAAGCCAGGCGTCTGGAATAAAACAGAAATACAGTCCAATAAATTCCCAAGTTGGAAAATCCTCATTTCTATTACCTTACCTGCCATCAATCCATCTAAATAAAACTGCACAGCCACATTTTCCTCTGGTGAAGCAGACAAAAAAATATTGATCCTTCCTTGGCAGGCTGCTACTACTGACCACAGCAAGCATGAAGAAAGAAAATCTGGGGAGTCTGCCTGTCTAAAACACCAGCCTCACCAATCTTAATTTTCACAACAGGTCCTTTCTGATTCTACGCAATTCCTCAGCAGAGCAAGACCTGGGTTATTAGGCTGTAACATTTCACAAAGAACCATGATTAGTTCTGCCTTACCCCAATATTACTATAATCACTCAATATTTCCAGGGTACACCTCTTTTTCCCAGTGTTTTAAATCTCAATGTATACAGCTTCAAATACTGGTAGAGAGCTTCAAATGCACTTTCATAAGCTATTCCTCAGAATTACTAAATGAGAAGACTGTGGCCTCTAATAGCTGCCTCAGCTTGCACAGGGTCATGCACACTGAGACATGGCTCTAGTGGCTGCTTAACCAAGTCAGTGTACCAACAGGAGACCTGCTCATTGCTGGGAAATGTGCTAGAAAATGTTGGCGATATAACAGATCCTAGACACCATCCCTGTCCTGGAGGAGCTGAGAATCTTGAGGTCAAGCTGGGCTGTACTGTGGATTTTGTTTTTAAGTGCTCGAAAATATAAAGTACTATATAAAACACTTTCTATTAAGAAACAAGAATAAAGATCACTTAGGCAACAAAGCTCCTTGTTAAACACGGGCATAGTACGTAACTTGCCTATTCATGTAAGTAACAATTCAGTTGGGACTCTTCTACCTCTGGACTTATTAAAAAATTCTATGAGCTGATATTTCTTAGGGGTGACTGACAAGGCTAAGTTTTTTTTTTTTAAGGCTATTTGTTGAGAATTGTACAGTCTGATTTATTCTCTCATTGTTCAACACCCAGAGGGCTGCTTTTGCCCAACAAAGCAGAGAGGAAGCCCAGAGAGCCCTGGGACTCACAGTGTTCCTTACTGCCCCTTTCAACCTTTTCACCCCAATTAAAGGTCAACATGGCTGCTCAAAAATATTTATTTAAAAGGGCAGTCATCTCAGCGGGCTGCCACTTAGATTATATTACCACTTCACAGAATTCAATTAAACCTGGGATGGGGCACCTGTGAATCACTGGTAGAAACATGAAGTTTTCTGCTTTCTCTTAAAAAGCTGCCTCTTTCCCGCCCGTTATTTTCTTCACTACCCAGAGCGCCCTCGCGCTTATGATATCCGCCCCCGTAGCTCATGGATTTATGGCTCCCGGTTTAATGAAATTCCCTCTAACGTCAATCGAAATTGGCAGCGCGACGCCTCTCCCACCCACCTGGCAGCGTCCAGCACCGGGACCCACCTGAGCCTCCCGCCGCCTACGTCGCCGCTTCCGCCCCGCGCTCGGCACTTCCGCCCGAGCCGCCGGGCCCGCCCTGCACTTCCGCCCCGGCCCGCCGCCCCCTCGGGTTGGGCTCCCGGGATCTCAGGGCGGGGCCGGTTGCCCGTCTGAAGGATGGTCGCCCTTGGCTGTTATACGTGAAAAGAGAGACACAAGACCAAGACCAAACTATTGAAAAAAAGGCCACAGAAAAGTGACCAAGTGTGTTTGGGACCATTTAATAACGAGCCTCGGGTGTGGGAGCCCACTTTTTGAGAATGTGCAGTCCAGGCCATTTTAACCCCTTGCATTCATTCGTACATTAATTTACGGTTTACTGTCCTCCTCCTGTCAATACGGGCTGAGCTCGGTTATGGGGAACAAGATGATGACCAAACTGGCAGCCGTACCCTCCCCAAACTTAAAGCTGTGTAAGCAAGTCAGACATTAGGAAATTAGCCTTTAAATGGGTCACGCATTCACTGAGGTAGGAGTTTTGAAAGGGAAGAAAATATGGACCCATGAAAAGAGTAGGATCTAGTTGAAGAAGTGGCTTTTGGGCTGGGATGTGAAGGACTCGCTTGGGCAAGGACAGACCTCTCCAGGCCTGGGGAAGGTTGGGACTGGAGGGAGCCAAGCATGGGCAATATGCAGAAGACTGACAGTATGGCTGAGGATAGAGGGAGTGGGGAGAGAGGCTCACACAGGCTGGCAGGGAGGCAGGAGCCAGGCCACACAGGGCCTTTCAGTTTTTTGCTAAGGGAAGCTGGAGGAATTTTTGTTTTACTCTATTTTTGTTTGTATGTGGGAAGGGTGTTGAACTGATTGCCTTTCCATTCTGAAAGAATCACTCGGCTTTGGGAAGCAGATGAGAGGGGTTTGGGGGTAGGTGAGAGCAGAGTACAAGCGGGGAAGGCAGAAGGCTGCTAAGTAGTCCAGGAGGGAGGTGTGGTGGCTTGAATGGTGGTGCTGTAAATAGTGAGAAAATGATGGATGCTAATAAGAGTAATACTGAAAGCTAGCATTTATTGATTGCTCACCGTCAGCTTCACACTCATTAACTTGTTTAATCCTTAGAACAATCCTATTAAGTATTATTAGTACCATTTTACAGATGAAGAAATGGAGGCTTAATAACTTGCCCTAATTCTCAGAGCTAGGAAATGGCAGAGTTGGAATTTCATGTCATGCTGTCTGGTGCCAGCATCCATGAGCTTACCACTATACACTCAATATGTATTCAGTGATTTTTAAAAAGATGCAAAACAAACCAAGGTCAGGAATGAATCCCGTAAACAAACCACACTGATTTTGTGATATTGTTAAGGACACACCTAGAAAATAGAGTTTTCAAATTCTTTGTCACTTCAGCATTTGCTGATAGCAAAAGAGTGGATTTTGTGACTGTCAACAGACTACCTATGATTATTTTTGAGTTGATACACTCTGATAAGACGTAATCTTTCTGAAAAAAAAAAAAGTCAATCAACAAAGTGCACTCCATGTATCAGTTTCTGATATAATATCTTTAAAGGAGTTATCTTGGGTCTAGTTATAAACACCTTGATGGAGCATCCATAGCTTACATTTTTGTGGAGTGATAGAAAAGCCTCCTGGAAATGCAACTGCAAATCAGCTTCCAAATCTCATTTCTTGTTGGAAAATGAAATAAATTGGATTTATGAAACCTGATTTCAATCAATGAAGGAGAAGAATGACTTCGCCAAAGGCCAACAGTGAAGGCTTTTAGCATTGGTTTTGGGTAAATTTCTCTAAGGAGCCAAAAATTCACAAAAATTTTCAGAATTTGAGTTTAATTGGTAAGAATTCCTAGGTTTTCTTCAGCTGATGGTACCGGACTTGGTCTTCCACATGATTGTTTTAGTCAAGGGTGGAAGTCCCATGAAATGGCTGGAAAACCCTGAGAACTCACTGTAGTTAACGCCCAGTCACTCCGGGAATGCTTAACTGAGTGCCATGAGCCAACAGGACAAGTTTAGCCTCTAGATTCAGCACTTACATTGATAGACATATGAGCTGTGTTTTGGAAAATGTCTGGAGTCTGACCAAGAAAAACTATTGTCTCCAAAAGAAAAAAAGAAAACTGCCAAAGAAAAATTAATAAACGTTTATTAAATGGTCACAAAATATAATACTGTTTCAGCTTCATTAATTGCTAGATTTAGTGTTCATTACCATTTTATTACATTTGAAAACAGTTTTTAGATGAGATGCTGTAATCGAGTGAGAGTTCCTAAATATATGTGATGAGTGTTGAGAAATCATAGCACATTTTAAATTACTTTAGCCAAATAATTTCAAAGGCAAAATTATAAAATCTTTTATAGCAAAAGTATTAAATGTGGACTGTGTACACATTTTAATGTATTTCAATTGATGTTAAAGTAAGAGTGTTCAGAGTATATGAAGGTCTTAGAATAGGGATAGGTCTTGTAGAATTTTGTTTGCTCAAAACATGCTTGTCATAGGCATTTGACCTACATCTTGTCCTCTAGGTCTGGACTCCAGTTCCAAACTATGCTTTGGGAATCTGGATGGGACAGGTGCAAGGATCTCCGCGTTCTGGAATGTCAGTTCAGAACTCACCTGAGTTGAATTCTTCTCTTACATCTCAACGCCCTACCAGCTCTATGGTCAGTTCTGAGACTGAAACCTGCTCTAGAGAAAGCCTGCTGGTATTGTCTGGTCTGCAGCTCCTGAGATAACTCCAGGGGTCCTTTAGAGGACACACTGCCTGTTCTTCCAGACGACCTGGACCTAGGCTTCCCCCCAAGGCCTCCTAAGGGCTGTATGTGTGGTGGGAGTCATCTTCACTTTTGGCCTGCTGGCTTTTCCTGTGGGAGAGCAGGAGTAAAGAAATGGCTTTTGATGCCAATGCTTTCCCTTGAGAATTCCTTAGGATAATAATGTGTGTCCTGACAGGTAGTGACTGTCATGCCAACTCTATTTTACAGTTACCTTGCTCCATGCTGCCACTCAAAATACACGCAATCTGAACTTTGACTAGGAGGGACAGTGCCAGTAATTGCCACAATTGGGTGATGTAATCGTGATGGTGGAGATATTTAGAAACCTGGGAGGTTTTCTTCCCTGGTCTTTTTCTGGTCTTTATAGTGAGCTGATTTGTTTATATCATGAGTTTCTCATCCCCAGTACTGCAAACTCTGCAGGAAGTGATCTGTATGGGCCAGACATTGTGTTCTGTTTAAAGTCTGGGGGAGAAAAACAGTGGCAACCTCCCAAAGAAAAGACAGCCTTCTGAGTCTGGATGAGCTGGGTCAGAAGGGTCACTGTTGACTCCCCCAGGCCAACCATTACAGGAAACAGAATTATAAGCCTGTCTTACTAGGGGAGAATGGACCCCAGAAACCTAATTTCTATATCCCCCTTGACATTTAAAAACCTCTGCTCTGGTCCCAGACATTCAGAGGAGAGTGAAGAAAATTTTAAAAAGAGAAAAATGTTTATTTGTTTTAAGGCTTGCTCAGTAATCCACTTATGCCATTTACATTAGTTAAAGAAGCTTGCCATGTAAACACCATTAATTATGTAGTATAAGAGCCAAAAAAAAAGGCTAAAAAATAAAAGTAATTGTAGACTAAATTAGTATAGCTTGAGTGCACATATATTATACACAGACTGTAGACTTTTACGTTTTATTGGGGGAAGTGGATTTGTGATATTCTATTGTTTGAGCTACTAGGATGGAACCAACAGAAATGACATTTTACAGATGGATACCAAAGCTGTTAAAGTTTAAACCCACACTGACAATGAAATTATGGTTTTCACAAGGGCCTTGACTCCTGCCCCCTCTCTATATCTGTTTTGAAAAGAGTGTCAGCAGAGATGTGGATTGAGTGTCCCGTGGATTTCCCCCGAAGGTTTGTTGGAGCAGGTCCATTACTGTCTACTCCAAAGTCAGTAGCCTCCAACGTCTGCTCAAGTGCAGTAACAGAAGATTGCTTGTGTCTATGCTAAAGGAAATGAATCGTGTGCAGCCTGCCAGGCACAAAGAGGGGCAGGCACTGAAGCTGTTGAGGAAATATGGTGTGGGGACCTTGTAGTAACAATGACAGGATATATTTGTATCACCTTTTGTGGTATTTCAAGGGTTTCCATGTACATTATTTAATTTGATTCTTCACAATAATTCTATAGGATAGGTAGGGCGTGTGTTTTTACCAACTCCATTTTACAGACAAGGAAATCGAAGCTTAGGGAGGGAGATCACAATGACGTGAGGATTGGAAAGCATTTCCTAATTCCTGTCTATATTTTTTCTACTACCACGTTCATATTTCTTTTTAAATGTAAATGAAAAGAAACACGGTTTAGTTCATAGCCATATTTTGCTCTATGTGGGATCTTTTAAGAACGCTTGAGTGCATTAACGTCATTTCCTCAGGGAAAGTTTTGTTTTACCTTGAAAAGCAGGAAATGGAGTTGAAATGGGAAAAGTTTTTCATTTTTATGGATTAATCCCATCTGTTGTGTTCACTAAGCCTGAATCATGGAGGAGGATGGATTTCTCACAGCGTAAAGAAGGGAGAGAAGAGTAAAAAGTGCCTCCTTCCTTCCCTGGTTCAGATCCACACGCATACAGTGAGTCCTGTTCAGACAAAACAGGGCGGCCAGCCTATCAGTTGGGAAGAAAAGCCACCACTGTCCTCAGACATGCCCCGACACACTGAACAGTCTTCCACAGAACGGGAGTTAATACTTACGGCTCAGAAGAATTCGGAAGGATAATTCTTTTCACTGCTTTGAGCATCATTGAGAAATATGCTTAAATATTTTGCTATATTATCTGCTATGTCTGCATAGTACAAAATAAAGGGAAATTATCTTTCATTCATTTATTCAGAATAATGCTGAGTACATACTATATACCACTGCTAGGAACTAGAACCCTAGGGTTGAACCAAACAGACGTGCCCCTTGTTGTAATGGAACTCACAGTCAAGTGAGGAGATGAATGTTAATCAAATGATCACATCAATAAATATTTATTGTAGGAAGTCTTTTCTCCACTGAGAGTAAGACTAGTAGCTGATTAGGTAATTGGAAAATGCAGTTAAACTGGGAAATCATTAAAATATGTATATGTGTGTGT